GCCAGAGATGTCCAAGAGAACAACATTTGTCAACGAAAGTCTAAGGTACCAAGATATTTTTGACCAAAAGTTGGTAACGAAATTAGCGAGGTTTTACAATGGTCTGTAGTCTAAGATTTACCGTACACCAGTGGCTCTGTTGGCTCTACAACATATCATCAAATCACTGCTAAAATTATTCAACATGCCTTGAGGTTCGTGATCAGGCTGTTATATGTTATGAATTTCATTTTTGACCTTTCCTTCAGTCTCGTCAACCAACTCTTTACGTATATTTGATTTAGGGACGTATCCCCGTAAAATGAATAAAGGGGTAAGTTTCTATAGAAACTGTGGTGCTGCGTCGGTGGGAGAGTATAGCAGGTAATTTAGTGTTAACAACTGGGTTGAAAACGTAAATTAGCCACCGTAAAGGATAAAAAAGCTGACGTTTCGAGCGTTAGCCCTTCGTCAGAGCGATAGATATACAGATATATCGCTCTGACGAAGGGCTAACGCTCGAAACGTCAGCTTTTTTACCCTTTACGGTGGTTAATTTACGTTTTCAACCCAGTTGTTAACACTAAATTACCTCCCTGTAAAATGGACAGTTTTTGAGGCGTTGCTGCACGGAAAATATTCTACAAAAAGTGACGCGTGAGTACATGGACCACATAAACAAAATTTTACCAGCTTAATGCAAATAGCTCAGGATGACCCTTTCAGCTCTGGGAAAAGTTATTGGACTTCTTACGATTTTTGGTCATTACATTATGTTGATGTGGGATCATCTCATTAGGAAGAAGTGACAGTACATGCTCCGGTTTTGAGTTATAAGTACCGTCTAGGATCAGCTAAGAGGACGAATATTGGTATGCTTTCCAATACGTTCTGCCGAAGGTATTAAAATTCTTTTTTTTACAGACAAGAGCGCCGATTTCCCTAAATTCATCCCTTTTGTCTTATAGGTTGAGCTATGCAGTTCTTCTCTATGAGATTTTCACGATTGGTAAGTTACAAGGCTGATGGACTGGCCATTTATTTTAGCCTCGGCATCCATGTTGACAGGTAGTCATGAAGTAAGCAGGGTGTACCAGTCTCTGGAGAATTCACTTTTGCTCTTGTGAATCATAACTGCGACAAGCTAGTTCGGATTACCACAGTCACTGGACTTAACATTTGTTGTTGTTAGAGTGTGTTGAGAGTAGCTGCTCTATTTCAGGTGGTTCACCGTATCCAAGGATGGATAGACGACAAGTTTTAACGTTGCTAGAAGCGGGATACAGAATGCCTAAACCACAACATGTGGGTGACAAGTTGTATGAATATATCATGTTTTCTTTGCTGTTTTTGTTGTTTATTTTGCGATGCCTTTTCTCTTAAAATAGAGTTGCAATTAAGTTCTTTTTGTTCGAATCGCATACGCGGCTAAAAATTAACCCCCTTTTCCTTGATGGGCAAGTCTACCTGTTGGAAATGTTGGAATAAGTCAATAAACTCGAGTTGTGATCAACATTTTAAGCCTAATGACGCCCTAAGTGAGGCCATTAATAACATACTGAGATCCTCTTAATGTCTTTGTGTTTTAGGTATGACATAATAACAAACTGTTGGAAAGACGACCCTAGCATAGGACCATCTTTTGAGAATTTGAGGAAAGAACTCAAAGAAATGGAAGACCAACACAAGGTAGGTTTGTGGAGCTTACGAAGAGACTATGTCATCATGACATCTTTTACCTTATCGGTTTTATCTGGCACATGCAAACATTCTGTGAAATATGGTAAACTTTAAGTTCGCATATTTTGAGTATTACTATTATGTGTTGTTTGGAAAATTATCCGAGTATGATTGGAACGTTTCAAAGCTACTAAAAGTAAATTGAGGTAACAAAATAAATGTACTCAGAAGTGGTCAACAGCAGGCAGAAAATATATTTTTATGTGTATTTTTTGAAATTTTAGTCTTGAAAAGAAAACGATTTTGTTTACAAGAATGTTAAAGTATCATTTTATTATTTTTTTTTATCAGCATCATATTTTTATTTTTAATGTTTTGTACTGAGGAATTGAAAATGGGAAATGTTTCTCGTTTTTTTAGATTTATTTTTCATGACGGGGGATATATTTATTTAGCGTTAATTATCGTTATCAACGCTTTTTCTAAAAATGTTTTGGAGCAAAAATTAAATGAACACAATAAATTCACGATTACGAAAGGTGTTACCCCGAATCGTCATGTCTGAAGCTAAGCATGTAACGAAAAGAATATCTTTGATATTGTTAGTCAAAAAAACTAAAAACTTCCCAACAAAGGAAATTCTCGCACAGAATAAAGGAATGCACGTCTTTAGTAGCCTCTTCCCTCTTGATATAAATTATTAGGGGACTATGCTCCCATACCCCCCCCCTCGGGTAAGTGATGCCCATGCCTACAATGTCTCACTCTTTACCATCAAACTGTGTCTGACCGAAATTCCCCTACTAAACAAACTTCTATTAGTTTGGGAAAACAATATTTTTTTTCTTTTGTTAATGGGCATCTAACTGTGGGTTCTTTGTAGTTGAGTACTGACCTGGACTCAAACTTCTTTAAAACTTTCAATCTATTAATTTACAAATAAACATCAAAATTATAATTCTTTCATCTCAACAAATTAAATTTGACCTATCACTTGTTAATGAAACACGTACAATTTGGTTCTACAACACTCTTTAGGTGTCATGTATCAAAACAAGGATTGATTAGTGATATTTCTGTCTCATTTACACTAAAGGATTAAAATTCTTAAAAACACCTTTTTGGAAAAGGAGACATCGAAAAAATTCCTTTCGTTACTCGTCTAGATATTGAAAAAAAAAAACGAAACAAGTCAAGGTAACTTCTTTCGCCATCATAAATTTTTCCCGTTTTTTACATTTTGCCTCTGAACACGTTTTGAAAAAGCGTGGATATCGATAATCACCGCTGAAAAATATTTTTTCCGCATTATAAACAATACAAACTGAAAAAAGAAAAGTTATTTCCCATTTCATTTTCGCATTCCCTAATTCCCCAATCTCCCTTTTAGTTACATTCTATGTTCTCGGGCCGCAAAATCGGGCAAGCTTTTCGGCACTTTGACCGTCGCCAGTGCCCGGGGGTGGTATGGGGAATTTGATCCTTGACCGGGTAGGGCGGGGTATTTGAATCAGAGGTGTCAAGTCTTTTCAGTGCAATAAACGTGCTTTAATGAAGGAGTTCAAGTCTGAAGAGTCTGCTTTCGTTAGTGAATGGCTAAGACAGACAAATTTCACATCTCAGAATGATGCTTACAAGCGTAACACTAAACAGTGGAACTAAAAACTAATACTAAATTCTACAACAAAGAATCGTTCAATATTGGGTGTGACATTTGAAAGGAATTTCGGGCTAAGGAAGGGGGATTGGAACAATCTTCAGATGTTCAAATGCCCGCGAGGGGGATGTTGAAGCTTCAAATTTATCGACTCGTTAGCCTCATCTAAACACTCGGAGGACAGCTGGTTGTCATACATGTCATGTCCATAAAATTGTGTTCAAAGAGGGCACTGATTATCAATTATACCTAGTTTTCGATTGGTGAATACAACAAGATTTTGTCTAACAGTGGCGGATTTAGGGGAGGGGCCTGGGGGCCCGGGCCCCCCTAAATTTAAGTAGAACAAACGACTCGTAGAAGGAAGAAAAACCGTCAGGGCAAGCGACAAAAAACTGGGCCCTTAGCTCAAGGTCTGGATCCGCCACTGACTAATACATAGTCGGTCACCACAAAATGGAGAATGCAGGTTGCAGACCGGGTACAAAATGCAGACTGCAGACTGGGTACTAAATTCAGAATGAAAATTTCAAATGTTTTTTCGTCTGATATGTGATAAAGTGTCATCTCACAGCTTACCGAGTGTCACAACGATTTTCACACATTAATATTCGCGTAGTCACCAAACAGATGAGAGATAAAACCATTAGTAAAGTAAACAAATGGCCAGTTACGAAAACAGTGCTTCGCTTTTCTCTATAAAATTTCGCCGGTTCCTCATGTAAACTTATAACAATTCAGGGCACATGTGTGAGAATCAGTGTGTGTACATCCCTTAACGTTGAAAATATATCAAGTAGAAGGAATAGTTTTGGCCTCGGTCTGCATTTTTGTCAACAAAATGAAAACGTATCGGTTAAAAGATTGAAGAGGACGGAGCACGTGCAAAGCTGTCAGTTGCCTCTAAAATAGAGCACGTGTTAATTATTCAATACTGACATCTTTCGTGAAGTGAGAACACCATATGAAGGCTTGAAATTCTATTAAGAACGATTGTGGCCGCTTTGTTAAATACAAAATATGTCAAGAACTGGGCAGGGAACATTGCACAATAGTACAAATATTCGTCAAAGATGATCGCGGAAAAGCGATTGCGTGACACTCGGTAAGTTGTAGGATGACACGTTATCACTTGTAAGACGAAAAAACAGTATTAATTTTCAGTCTGCATTTTGTACCCAGTCTGCAGTCTACATTTTGTACCCGATCTGCAGTCGGCATTTTGTACCACAATACCAAATTATCTTTACATCCTTACCTTCCCCTACTCACAACTCCCTACCCTTTACCACTCACCCTCAGAATGACTCCCAAGCATACAGGGTGAATAATTTGAATTGAAAATCTTTGCAAAGGTTTATTCTAGAACGTACACTTCTTTGCGTTATATTCTTAATGCCTTTAAGTTCAAACAACTGGTTCGACCTAAGCGAATCTTCCTGGTTTCATTATTTTCTCGACGGTTTTCAAAAAATCCAAATTCAAAATCCATGTTGAACACTAGCCTGAGCTAATGGCGGTAATCCTTTCCATTCCTGATATTTTTGGGTGAGTGTGTGTGTCTGCGTTAAAAAAAAGTTCCACCAATCATTACTACTGTCTAAATTGGTGTTTTTAGTCATCAACCTATCAGGTTTCGAGTTTAAATTCAGTTTCCTAGTGGCAAAAATTACTTCCGTGCTAGCGTACATCTAGAGAGTGAAATTCCTATGCTCTCATATATGGCCATCGAACTCGATTCTAACATAGTTCTTCATTTGAAATTTATCTTTGTATGGATTTTAGTGATGCCTCAACTCACAGGTGACGTGTTATTCTGAAGTTTCTCTCGTTTTTACAGCGTAATTTAATCATGAACTCGATTAGGCGCTATAGCTCGCAGTTAACAGCTCCCCCTGAACGTGAACATCAAGCAGGTTGTCATGCCTGGCACTGTTTAAATCTTAGGATAATTTGAGAAAATTTGCGTCTGTTGGTCAGATAACTTAATATATGAACATTGGTTTGTTTTAACGGCGGTTTAAAATCTTCACCGTTCAGCAGATGGCGGAAGTGTCACATGGTACGAACCTACTCCTGTGAAGACAACAACGCGTCCATATGAAGTGCTTTCCCCTGGCATCGTACAGGTTTTAGAAGGATCTTCTGTCGCACTGAACTGGAACTACAGTCTGCCGTTAGGTTTCTTTATGGCTATGATAAAATTTAATGGTGATGGTATAGCCATGATTAGCGCCGGTGGACTAGTTGGTGCTCTTAATGCACATTTTCAGGAACGGTTCAACGTTAGCTCGACTCTTGGAAGAGCGTCTTTGTTTATCTATAACGTAACGGTTGCAGACGATAAGACTAATGGAGAATTTACCTGTGAGTTACTTGATTCCAATGATATCTGGAAACGAGCAATTCAATTGGAAGTCATAGGTGAGCTTGAAAGTGCTTCCGACAAGAAAGGCAATACCTTAGGGGGTCAGACTGGCATTTCTTTGAATGGTTATGTGTCACCTAACAGGATATGGAATGTGCATTCTTGATTTTCTATTTCTCATGATGTGTCTTGATCAGGGTGACTCTGTGGACCACTAACATTCACTGAGTAGGCTATGAACATTGTAATGTAGTGCACATGAGTTTACGTGGATGACTCTACTTGAAGATATCAAGAAATCTAAATTCCTAGAGATACTACTTTGTTATGCCCTTAAGACTTTTATGCTAAATTGTTATACTTATTAATTACATAAAAGTTTGAATATGAAGAAAGACTTTTTACCTTATAAATGCTTAGCATGTTTTCTTATTATATTTATTTTTATTTCATTTATTTATTATTATTATTATTATTAATTTGGATGACCTGGCCAACTTACTCACTACCTAGGCTTTATACTCGTTCTATTTTATTCCTTACTTACTTTCGATTAATTCTTCAAATCTGGGCATCATTTTGTATAGTTTGCATATGTTGTAAAATGAGCTGAGTTAAATTATATCTGAAGTCTTGATGGTAAAAACAGCTTTTTAAAATATTTTTAAGCTAGCTAAGCAATGTACCTTTCTGTCAGAATATGTTATATGTGTGCAGGCTCTGTGAGGTTAATATATGACAAAAATCTCCACAGGTTATGGTCTTAAACAGTTGATAACTTGCAAAATCAAAAGATTTTGTCAATAACACATGGTCACTCATACTGAACGTGATCACCATGCAGTTGTGGAACATGCTGTAAGAAACATGTTGCAGCACTTTGAGGATTACAGTAATTGCAGCTGTTTGATTTTTTCAGTGCCAGCTAAGGTAACTAATATCACCGGCCTAAAAACTGTACAAGAAGGCAGTAACCTACTGTTAACCTGTAAAACATCTGGGAAACCAGCACCAAACATTACTTGGACCAAAGAAAAGCTAGTCTTGCAAGGAAATACTGAATCACTACAACAGGGAGCTAGGCTGAATATAAGAAACATTGGCAGGAATGAGTCAGGAACATTCTACTGTAAAGCATATAATGGCTTTGGAAACCCAGACAGTCAGGCAGTTGATGTGGATGTCACTTGTAAGCTACATATTGCTTGTCTATTTACTGTGTATTATGTCCTTATTATTATGTTATACATCATTGATTTATCTACATGCAGATGTTTTCATGAGTGTGTGCCCTTGTGTATGTTTTAATAGGGTATTGTGTAGTTCCAGAAAATATCCATACCCTCACCACGGAGGGGGGGGGGGTCAAAGTCCCAGGAAACTCCAGAGGGGATGGGGGGTAAGAGGCGAAATTTTCGTCCAGAGGGTAGGAAGTCGATCGACTTTCTTCGTATGTCAATTGGCGCCACTTATCTACTTTAGTGGGACGTTCTGAAGTTTAAGTTGTTAAATTACGATGCTTCTAACAGTTCTGCAGCCAAAGAAAGTTTTCTTTTATCCTTGTAGCGCTTTGGAACATAAATAACATCAAATAAAGAAGAGAATCACTTTGTTTTTCGAACGGAGCCGCCTTTACTCGTTACCAGTCTCCAAAGATTACAATCAACAGGAGTGGTTACCTAGGGATTTTCCTCGGTCATAACACGTTTCGCGTTCGTAAAATTTACAAATAACTGTCTGATGCTGTTTTTTTAAAATTTAAGTTAAATCTCACAGATCGATCCTGCAGTCTCGTTTTGAGCGGTTCAAAAGACTCAAAACGTCTCACAGTCTCGAATTGTTTGCAAAGCCGTTTTGGGGTCTTAACATTGGTCTCGCACTCAAAAAGTTTCGGTCTCGCAAAAAAAAAAAAAAAACGCTGGTCTCGCCGTCTCGCAAAGTTTCGCATAAATTTACCATTCGCTACCCCTTATTGACTCCAGCCATCTCTTAATTTTGATTTGCACTGAGCTTAATTCTGTTGCATCATAATATGTAGGAGACTTGACGATTTCTTTATGGCTTACTTGCTTGCGATGTTACAAGCGATGTTGATAGTAACATTGAGAAACACTAGGATCCAGGGCTTTGTATATATGCGCGTGGGACTGGTAACTAGCCAAGGTTTGTTTATGCACAATCGGACGAAATTATCGACCTGCTGTTAACAAGAATCAATGCTTGTGTGAAGAAATTTTACATTAGAGGCTGGAATTTGGAAAGATGGGTTCAAAATAACTTACTGCTGACTCGGTTTTCTCTTTTGCTCTCTTATTTATGACACAATTTTGTACAATTTTACGTTGCTTAATGTGAATTCGAACGTTTCCATTTCAAGTGCACGCAATTTTCTCAGTACATTGTACAAACTTAACAGTTCAAAAGTGTTTTGTTGCGACTTGTGGATTTTTTCTCCTTTCGTGTACTGAAAATACTGTGTTAAATGTTTAAGGATAAGTATTGTATTTAAAAATAAAGCAAACGTTTAGTTTTAGCTAGTTCGCGACGTTTACCTTGCGCGTGTACGCCATCTCTCGAATATACACGCGACAAAAGCACACGTCCCTCTTGTTTGTTGTTTGCTATGAGAAAAAAATATATTTCCAGGGGGTATAGGGGGTGGTAGAAAATTCTCTGGAAATTCCAGAGGGGTGGGGGGGCTACCACTGCTACCCCAAAATGGAAAATCCGAAGGGGTGGAGGGGTCCTATATGAAATTCCCTCCGTGGTGGGGGTATGGATATTTTCTGGAACTATACATTTCTGTTTTTGTCACTTCTACTTTGTAGTAAAAAATAGTTATAAAAGCTTATTACTAGTGTCCCTAGCTGTGCTAAAAATTTTACAATTAATGTGCTAAGTTATTAAAGAAGCCAAAACATTAAGGTTAATTATATTAATTTCTTAATTCTCTGGGTGTTTATGAGAAAGAAAAAAATGTACAAACAAATACCAGCTTTTCTGTTTCACAAACAAATTTTTGAATTTAGACAGTAAGTTATTGCTGTGAAATATGTTTCACTTGTATCAGTGAGTGTGGTTTGCATTATTTGTGCAAAGAAGCTGTAAATGTGTCGATAATATACTTTGTGTAAGCATCTTCAATATTATTTAATTGTCAGTGGTGCCATTTTTTTAAAATAAAATTTTGGGTATTTCCATTCAATTTACAGATGCAGTTAAGATTGTTAAATTTCAACCAGAGTATATTGTTGTTGTACAACAAAGTGTAACTCTTACCTGTGAAGCAGAAGGAAACCCTCCTCCTACTTACACTTGGACTCCATGTGACCCAGAACAAGTTTGCAACAAGAATACTCTTCATATTACACAAGTCCTTAATGATGCCAACTATACCTGCAGAGTGGCCAATGAATTTAGTAGTGATGTAAAAGATGCCAGTGTCTGTAAGTTGTTATAATCATTCCTAATTCACCACATGAAAACTTGCCATTCAAACAATTTTTTTTGGAAATTTTTTAATTTTGATGGTAACTTTGGACTGAGAATTCATAGGAATTCCCAACCAAAACAACTCTGGTTCTAAAAACCTAGAAATTCCTAGAAACTCCCAGAAATTCCAAGTTTATAGCCAACAGGACTTGGAATCCTGGGAATTCCAACTCAGAGCACCAATAACTTTCCTTGAAAAGCTGTAAATCTAAAAAATTCCTAGGCATTTCAAGGAATGTTTAAGAATTCCTGGGAATTTGAAGCAAAAATCTGAGGCTACTTATATGAAATAAATACTAAAACTTAAAAAATCCCAGCTAAAATTCAAGTATTCAATGAAATTTATTTACAAGCTTAATTAAAGTTTATGTGTAAAATATCAACATCAACATGTAGTAATATTAGGATGGAATTTGATTTATTTTTCTTTTCTTGAAAACTTCATACGGTTTAATCCTCAATTACAGCTATTCATATAAAATAGTCCTAATCAATCATTAAATTTGGTTTGACACAAATTGTGAATAAAATCTGTTGATTCTTTTCCATAAAATGCAATATCTTAAATTATATTTGTTGCGATAAATACTATCTGTCTAAAAATAGTCTTAAAATGAGTTATTTAATTTTGGATGATGATACAAATGGTATTAACCCTTTTGCTCCCAGAGACAGGCTTTGACTTGATTTTATGTGGTTGTAACTTATTTGGATAAAACTCTTACGTGTGAACACTCAAATGTAAGCTGTCAAGTACCACTTTCATGTTTTACTCTTTGTTTTCGTTGATTCTGCACATTGAAATTTGAAGATTTCTTCTCAAATTTTGATCTAGCACTCTTGGGAGTGAAGGGGTTAATTACAATTAAATAATTGATTTTTTAATTAAAATCTTGTCGTAACTGTAACAATAAATTAGAATGAAGTTATTCTAAACTGCAGACTTAGCTGCTGTTTATCTTTTTTCCCTGGGCTCACAATGAGTTGGCCTTTAATGAGGTTGTCTACAAGAAGCTTGACCATTTTGTATCTGGATTCCATGACATCTGAATTTGAAAAAATATATATATATATATGTGATAAATTCACAAGATGAGCGCCAAATGGAGTCTTCTTTGTTTCCGATCACGGGCATGACCACGTGGATCTTTTAGGACTTGTCATTGGCTAGCAAAGTGAATCCGCTGGCTTGCCGATTGCAGTGTGAAGAGAAGCGCACAACTTTACTCTGACTTCTCCGACCGGTTCTCTGCTTCTGGACGTTAGATACCTTGGATCCATGTTCTGACGGTGATGTAAATAATGATGTGAGCTCACTCTATGTAGAATTATAATAAAGTTCGGATATAACGCGCGCTGTCATTGGTCGAAAGAGTGTGCTCTATGAGAGTATAGAGCATAGAACTGAGCTAAAGCTGTCACGCCATCTGCCAAATTGTACTATGTTCGACCTTTTCCGGTAATTGAAAGTGAAATTTCGGAACATGCGATCCGGCAAGTAGCAACAGAAGAAACAAACAAAGATTTGTAAACATACCAGGCGCCGTAATTTACGTTATTAAAACGTGAGCAGATACGAAAATCCTCAAAGGAAAAACAAAATAGACATTCCGAGTTTTAAAGATTAATTCACGCTCAGTTAGACTGCAAGTTACGTACGGAAATAAAAATCAAACACAGCTAACACTCATACAGTATATAAAACTCAATGTTCAAAAACAAAACAGAACAAAACAGAAATGATGAAAAATATAACCAAACTGGCATAACCGTTAAAATTCATTCTAATCATGACGGTGTCTGAGCGAATATGATCATGCTGAAGTCCATCGCGGCTTGCTCATCATGGCGATCTCCGGTCATCACAGTAAAGCAAGCCTCAGAAACTACATCGGCCACCCTTCGAGTGAAAAAATAAGAGCTTGCTCTGATATCCTTTGCGATGCGTTGAGTGGAAAGTCACATCTGTCATTGCAGCCGAGTTTTGCCGCGCTGTCATCCCTAGCGATCTTCATGTTCCGGTGAATTCGGCTGTCGTTCATTCAAAAAACACTCGCGTGTTTTTATGAGCCATAATTCGGCTGAAGTTCACTGAACATTTCACTTCAAGATTCTGTATTAGAGACTTAAAAACTTCAGGCAAAAGTGTTAAATTCGACCTGCCGAACCATTTTAGTTTGTAAACTATCGCAGAATGTGAACTTTGATGGTTTGACACTTTTGACAGCTTTTGTCTTGTACAGCCAATCAGATTATTTGAACCATTCTAACAGGGATTCTGATTGGCTTATTGTAGCGTGCTTTATGAGAGTATAGAGCATGCTGACGACACTGTTGTTCGCTTTGGAAATAAAGTTTGTTTTGAAAATTGAAAGTAATGCTCGGGGAATTTAATGGATTCTCTATTATAAAACAAATAGAGAAGCCTTGACTGTGCTCTGTTCTGTTATAAAGCACTTAGGAAGCGGCTAGAAGTGGGGAAGAAGAAGAAGAAGTGGGGCGAAACACTCGACTACGTCAAGGCTACCACAGTCAAGGCTTCTCTATTTGTAAAATAATCGACAAGAATCGATCGTACTACAAATGCACGATTTGTGGCCGAAAGTTTTCGAGGAAACAAAGACTCAAAACCCACTTGAGTTGTGTTCATGGCAAAGGTGAGAAATAACACAAGCCAATCACAATTTTGAATGCGATCACAGATCGTCTTTTACCCTCATTTTTACAAAAGAAGGATACCAAATTAGGAAGTCTAAGAGATACATGGATGATCCCAGTGTACCAGTACCTAAATCAACAAAGCTTGACCGTAACAAGCGTTCAGGAACACGTTCTAACACCGCCATCTCGATTCCTCAGTCAGTCGTTTCCATTGAACTTAAAGCAGTGGTGCCAACAGAATAGAGTGCGTCTCATAAAGGAGAAACATTTGTACAAGAGACAGAAGCAACTATATGCGATTACAGAGGTGCGTTGGAACTCCGGTCCACAAATGGTTATGCAATGTCCGATGTATAAAACAATGATTTGTTGATAGCTGACAGACAGAGAAGAACAACAAGTAAACTTTAGAGCTGTTATTATTCAAGTGTCACTTGCACTTTTTATTTGTATATAAAGAAGGACTTGTATTTTGCACTAGAAATAAAGAGAAGTAATATTTTTTGGGAGATCCAGTGATTGGGACATTTAAGAAATTAAGTTACGACAGGAAACTCGGTTTGTACTTCTCACTAGTCTAAAAAGTCTTGAATTAAAAATATTTTCAGATCAGAGTTTCAAAAGGTGTTTTTTCTCAAAGGGAACAGTGACTACCTCTGTCTTGTCTGCATGCCAAATGTTTGTGAAGTGTGTGGATGATCCACAAGTATTCGAACTCTTATAAAAATGTTTTGTAAGAATAAAATCATGCAAAACAAATTACAGCAATCAGTCAGAAAAACAGAGCAAAAAACTAAATAAAAAAAAAAAAAGAACAGTAACAACAATCATGAAAAAAGAAAGATTAATCAGGTGTTGAATTTGTTTGTCTAAGGCATGAAATTTCTACTAAAAATAATGTCAACAAAAAGTCTCTGACACTGTTTGAGGCAACTGAGCTTGACTGTTCCAAGGTTTTCTAACAAAGTCAGCTAGTAATGTAGGTTAGGGAAGTAACTTATGTTCATAACTAACAAAGTGTAGATAACAATGTAATTATTGGTACACATGTGGAAGTTGTGTACCAAGGAACAGCTAATGAATGTTTGAGGATTTTGGCACATCTTTGAACATGAGACATTTTGTATCACAATAAAAACTTTTATGATCATGGAATCCAAGAGTCCTTTGAGGTTAGAAAGCAAATCAGTGATATGAATACATTAGATTAATTGGCAATTTGAATTTAACATAATTGACTGCTGCTTCATGATAAAATCCATATTAACATAGAGATTTACTAAAACTTAGTTTGAATAATAAATTCATGATCTTTCAGTTATAAACATATACATGTATGTCTATCTCGTGGTAAATTTTGTGTAGCATACCTTTAATTGAGCCAAAGTTTTAAGTCTCTAAAATTACTCCTCGTCTTAAAACCTTCACATTCAAGGTATTAAGAATTTCTTGGAATTTAAGTGGACCTCAGGGTATTTAAATTACCTCAAATTCAATTCCCAGAAATTCCCAAGAATTCCACCCTTCTTAAATTATAGGTAGTTTGTATAGCTGAGAATTCCTAGGAATTCCTAGGAATTCCAAGTCCTCACAAAACTGGAGTCTTCCTTTCCCAGAAATTCCCAGTAATTCCAAGCTTTTCAAATCAGAGCTTATTTGCATAGTTAGGAATTTTTGAGAATTCCCAGAAAACTGGGTATTCAGTTCCCAAGGGTTATTCAGGTCGAAGTCATCATCCTGATTGAACACCAAACTCTTGCAACTTATTTACAGGGAAAAATGTGGCGGCCATAGGGGAGAATTAACAATTACCAACAACTAAAGGGTAAAGGGGGAGCTAGAAACAATTACAAAGCCTGCAGCTGGGAGAGCTATTATATTAGATATAAAAATATTGAATGGCACTCCATATAATCCATTTAGTAAAGTACTGGTAGTAATTTTTATTGTATGGCAAAAGATAATGATTCCTAAAGTCTTTCATCGCCCCAAGGACTACTAAAAGGAGATAGTTACAATTTGTACGAAAACTGAATGGGACCAAATATTGTGATAAAAAGATGCATGTACTCATAACTTCATACAGGTGTACATGCTCTTTTTTCCTAATGTGGCTCTGATTCTGGCAGAATCTGAGTTTGATTAGTGTTGCATCTTCTAATTTACCTGCAGACATTGGAGGAAATGTGATTAATATAACCATTGTCATCACCAGTGAAAGTTGTACTGATGGAAAATACAACCAATCCTCATTACTGATGAAACTCAAAGAACTGGTAAACATTTTTATTGGTCAACAGAGCAGTATTTTATCTTATTCAGCTTTATCTCTTAGTTCTATTTCTGCTGCTGCAGTATAATATTACATGCAAATCACATAAGGAGCTTAAGTGTTGATGTGCTATTTGCTTCGCATTTAATTCAGTGTCACTCAAACATTCCAACAAAGCCTATGCATGTAGTGCACTGATATACATGCCATAACAATTTTATTCCTTTCATTGAAGAGACATATGTTTATCTGATTTCATGTTTGTGTTTGAAGGTAATTGATAAACTATTTTGATTTGATGTTCATTTGCACTGTTCTATTGGTGCCTATATGGTTCTTATAGATGAAAGTGGTCTTTGTTAGTAGACCTGGTTACAGGAGTGTGGAATTGAAAAGTGGAATCAGGTTTGTAAACTGCTTGGATCATCAGTTTCTAAGTTTTAATTTTCAAATTTCTAACGCACTTAAATTTATTTTAATTGATCCTGATCATCTTATGTCTGTATCAAGGTGTGGAAGTATAACTGTTGACCTAGCACTAATATTCAACTCCACAACAAGAGAGCAAGATGTTATTAGATTTCTTTGGAATGCTGCCAAAGATGGGAAACTTGGACAGTTCGATGTAAGTGCCATACACGGGACAAGATCTTCGGTTGATTTCGAAATTGGAACAACTGCAGCAGCAGGCACAGTTATATCACCTGGAAGTAAGTTTTGTTAATTTTTGCTATCTACTAAATGTGCAAACTTTTTGATATGGATCAATTCATTTATGGTACATATTTCACAGAAATCTGAATCCATGATATGCTCTTCAGTGGAAAGTTATTGGAATTTGATATCACATTGTAATCATGGGAAACAAAAACGCCGTTTACACTCTATGTTCGGCATTCATGTGAAATATCCCTGTTGTATATTGTATCCATAGTATGAGTAGGAAAAGCGTCGTGAAACGGTAGAGCGGAGGATTGCCGACATTTAGTTTGTGGCGACATATCTATCATGTGTTGTTCTTTTCCGCATATTTTCAAGGTGCCACAGGGATTATTGTTGGTGCAGTGGTTGGATCAGTTGCCACAGTGGCTGTAGCTGTTGGAATATTTGTTTTTTTCGTATGGAAGTCAAGAAGGCGTCGCAGCAAGAAATCGAATAGTAAGAATTGTGTTTCTGACAACATTGGGTCCCACGTATAGGATAGGTATAGGATATTTTAGGATGTATGGTAGCACCTGGCAATTAATTATAAGGGCTGCTTGTGTTTTTACATAGCTTCATTTAAACACAAGAAAGGTAAACACGGAAAAAGTTCAATTTTGCGCATAGATTATGTAATATCTGCGAATCTTAAGCGTCACAACTGTGATTACATGCGTGAGTACTAAAACATGGAACGACCTAAAACCACCTACAACCACCTCAAAAATTTCAACAACCACCTACAACCACCTCAAAAACATCTACAGCCCCTCGCAAACTATCTAAAACCATCTAAAACAAGGCATGAATGTCTAAAATAAGGCGAGACGGCAACATGTCACGTACATGAAATACGAGAATCGAACGAAACTTCCACCTCCCCCTTGTATAATCAACCATCTCACGAAATAAAATGCGAGAGTATGCTAATTATATTTTATATTCCTTCAGTATCAAAAGACTTAAAGAACTTTACAAAATGAACTATCAAGTTGCAAAAAATAATAAAGTAAAATGACAAACTCGTAGTCAAAAGACTGACTTGACCTGGCTTTTTCTACCCTGGGTACCAGCAGACGTTTTGGCTCACGTCTAGAAAAAGTATGAGTAAGAATGGTCATTAAAAATATTTTAAGCGAATCTGTGCGTACCTTTGGGATCTTCCTTTGGCACGAACGCCATCGTGCTGGCATTCATACAGCATACAGCTGCACGAGTGGTGCCACTTACGCAATAGTGACTCACGTTTTGCTCCAATTACATTTCCAGTGCTGAGACTATAAATGGAGAAAAACACTGCCTTGGACCATTACGTAATCAAATGTAATGTGAGCCAAAACGTCTGCTAGTTAAGTTCTCCAAGTCTTTTACTACTGTGCAGGCTGATTACTGTGGCAATATAAAATGTAATTGGCATGCTCTCGCATTTCATTTCGTGAGATGGTCGATTGTACAAGGGACCAGGGAGAGTAAGATTTCAGGGGTAGGTGGAGGTTTCGTTTGATTCTCGTATTTCATGTACGTGACTTGTCGTCTCGCCTTATTTTAGACGTTTATACTTTGTTTTAGATGGTTTTAGATAGTTTGCGAGGGGCTTAAGATGTTTTTGATGTGGTTGTAGGTGGTTGTTGAAATTTTTGAGGTGGTTGTAGGTAGTTTTAGGTGGTTGTAGGTGGTTGTAGGTGGTTGTAGGTGGTTTTAGGTGGTTCCATGTTTTAGTACTTAAGTGATTACGTGCTCTTATTTAAATGTCACTATTTTTTCATGATTTCAATTATCGATTCAGACTTGCTACAAAACGCCTCCATAACAAAATCATCCATGTATAATTAAATTTCAGAGGACATTATTCGGCATTGCCCTCGAATTCATTTCTTCCTTTCTCTTTACATACTTTCTGCGCTGATTTTTCTTTCTATTCTGCTTCCTCATCATACTTTGTTGATGTTTTTTTTCATCGTTTTAGGGACAGCAAAAAGAGAGAGGTGAGATAAATTATCGTCCATTTTCATGGTTTATTCACATTTAGATTTTGTTACCAATGGGTACTGTTTGCAACTGTGAACTTCTCCTTTTGCTTTTCACATGCATCACAGTAGTTAAGTTCAGCTTACGTACTTCATCTAGGCGTTAATTACCTAGAGTATCTTTGACTTAATACCTTTAACACTACACACCACGCCTTATAGGTGTGAACAAACTTGCTATGCGGATATTATGTTCTGCATCTATAGGAAAGTAATGAAGTATCATCGTTACTAATCGCTTCTCTCTTCAAGCTTTGGCTGTTTATGAAACCTGCTTTTATTTGAGCTAATAGCTCAAAGCAAAATGTGGCATGCTGTCGCTAATGTCTTAAACATCCAGTTTTTATTGCTTTTCCGTCAGAGCTTACCCTGATGTTCCATCCCTTTGGCATTTGAGATTTGCGGCAAAGATATCAATTTTATATATGTGAATTTTTCACTATCTTAGGAGATATGGAAAATCAACGGAAGAAAGAGGAATTTGTGATGTAAGTGGTCTCTCTATTTAACCCTGTACACCCTAACATCATTATGCATATTCTCCATACCGTTTTCTATACATTTCCAAGGTTCTAACAAGAAGAATTTGTAAAACCATCAAGAGCTTCGTTAGTTGTTAATCATTTCCTTTATTCTCGTGAATTAAACATTTGATTCAAGGGATAGATTGTAAAGAGAAATTAGAACCTTGTCACTCTTAGGATTAACGAGCTAAACAGTGTAGGATACTACTGTTCAATCAAGCTCAATGTTGTGCTTTTCTCCTTCGAGTTGTGGTGGCCTTAATCTAAGAAATGCGCTATATCATTGGAGCATTTACTATGCGAAAGCTTCTCCAGTAATAAATCCAATTAGTTTTTGTGTCTTTCGACAAACGCTAACCAGCTGAACAAATAGAAAGTTCGATACGAACTTAGGTGATATTAAGTGCACTTTTTGGAGATGAATGCCCAAAGATATTTGTACCCAGTAAAGTTTAATTTATGATCATTAAATTTCCGAAGACAAAATGTCATTTGCACTTTGAGTAAAAGAAAGTAAATTGTTGCCATGAAGTTGCTTTTGCATGGTAATTGTACAAATGAAAGACAGAATGTTTAGAGTGGTAGTTTTAAGTTAGTTTATATGTATAATTAAGTATATTGAGAAGGCAGTTGTTTAGAAAATGTGTAATACCTTTAAGCAGAGCCGTGGTTTATGATTACGTTTCTTACTTAAAAAATGATTAGACTGAGCGTGAAAAGCCTCAAGGTCAGCAGTACATGGCATTGGATGAGAGGGCTCGACGCGCTGAACCAGTCAGTGAATACGCCTCTTTAAATCCATCTACACGCTATTGGGAGATTCCTACAGAGCACGTGACTATAGAAAAGATCGTTGGTAAAGGTGCTTTTGGTCAGGTTGCCAAAGCAACAGTCATAGGCCTCCACGGAAGACTAAAGAAGACACTTGTTGCTGTCAAGATGTTGAAAGGTATCAAGTACTTCAAATGAGTTCTTGCATTTCTGTAAAGTTCCAGAGGTAAAAAACCCCACCCTCCCCCCTCAAAAAAAAGGTAGCGCCTTGAAAGAAGCAAATCAAACTCAACCTCCCCGCATCTGATGTGGAGACTTAGGTCATTTTAGTGTTATATTTTTTCTTCTATCAGTTTTCAAGTAAACGTGATTTCATTAGGTTGACCATGATAATCAAGGCACTTTAGATAAGGTATCGCTTATTAATCCAAATGAAACCGCAAATCCACCTTAATTTCACCAAGAGCCTTTCGTCTAAAAAGTTTTTTTTATGTTATTAGTGATCAGACCCCCGTTCTACCCACTCCAAAGTAGCAAACCTCAAAGACTGATATTCCGACTTAAAAAAGAAGGATGTCGCTTCGTTCGTGATTTATTTTCAGTTGAAAAAGGTTGCAGGTGTTTTAGCTGAGCATATACCGCTCACTTTTTTTTGTTAAAAACAAATTGAGTTCAATATCTCTAAAGATTTATTAAACTGCAGTCATTGGGATGGAAGTAGAATGTAGGATTTTGTCATTGTCTTTTTTTTACTCTGAATACAGTGTTTTATTTAGTAACGGTAGAGTGTAACTGAACTTAACATTTTGGCTGCACCAGGATTTACTTCTGACCTGATAACTTTAATGATGATGCTCAACCTCTAAGCTACACAGAGCTCAGTATGAGATAGGATATATACTAATTATTTTGGTTCAGTAACTGTGATTGCTTGTAAAGGTAACAGCTTTTGGGTGATCATCTTGCAGCTGACGCTTCTGCATTAGAGAGGAAGGACTTATTGTCCGAACTTGATTTGATGAAGCAACTGGCGCCTCATCCTCATGTCATTAAACTACTGGGATGTGTCACAAAATCTGGTAAATATGGAAAAGTATACTTCAATAGCCCATAAAATTATCTTCGAGTAAATACCTAGTTCTTCAGAGACATGTCATTCACCGCTCGAGCGTTTTCTTCGGAAACACAAACTTGGGGTAAATTTACACATGCTCCTTTTCCATTCGGCTCTTAGTTATTTTGTGTAATCTTCGGTCAACGACCTCTAATTACCAGGTATGGTTGTCGGTTTCCTTAATGCTAAACGTTCTTTCTTGTCATCGTGAAATATCCCATATATTCTGAGTGAATTGAAAATACATCTATCTTGCAATAGGGCCATTAATGGTATTGATTGAATATGTTCCATATGGGGATCTGCTTGGTTACCTGAGAAAGAGCCGTGGATTAAACGACACTTACTACAAAGACCCGGACGTCAAGCCACAAACAAATCTGACATCGCAGCAGCTTATGAAATTTGCGTGGCAAGTTGCCGATGGAATGTCGTATTTGTCATCGATATCAGTAAGTACACACTATGGGCCGGTTATTTTAACAAAGCTTAGCTGTTCTTTCACAAAACCACGTTCTAAAACTATCTAACCTGAAAATTCTACCTGAACATTCATAATTGTCAAAAAAATCAACCCTTTTACGGAGAAAGCCCAGTGACTGCGTAAAACCGCGGTTTAGGTTAGACTTCTTGTAAATAACCGGCCCATACATTTAGTTTGAGAACTTACAGATTGCCCATCTTACTTAAAACGGACCCTCGTGGCAATTATTTTTTCAATTCTCTCGCATCCTCCCAAGTCGTTCCAACATCAATAATTTGTTGAGCTTTGCTATAGATTATCCATCGAGACCTTGCAGCTCGTAATGTGTTGATTGGAGAAGGGGAAATGTGTAAAGTAACAGACTTTGGTATGGCCAGAGATGTCCAAGAGGACAACATTTATCAACGGAAGTCAAAGGTACCAAACGATTTTAAGCTGATAATTATGTTGAAATTAATGTAAATTTGTATGAGTGTCTGCGGTTTTAACTTTACATAGGTCATGGGCTCTCTCGGCTTCTTTTCTAACACATTAAATCACTGCTAGGACTACTTCAGTTAGCTAGAGATCTGTCTACAGTCTTGCATTGGTTAAGTCGCATTTATCCTTGATCATGATCTTTTTAATATCCTTAATCATGATCTTTTTAATATCCTTAATCATGATCTTTTTAATATCCTAAACATGATCTTTTTAATATCCTTAATCATGATCTTTTTAATATCCTTAATCATGATCTTTTTAATATCCTTAATCATGATCTTTCTAATTTAGGGGCGTCTCCCTGTCAAATGGACTGCCATTGAGGCATTGCTGTACGGAAAATATTCCACAAAGAGCGATGTGTGAGTACAAGGACTTCATAAGGTCTATAAGCAAAATGGGAAAAGTTATTGGATGTCTTCTGTATGTTAGGTATTGCATTTTTTTAATTGATGTGGAGATGTGGAGGAATCTTATTATGAAGGAGTGGTAATACTCGTTCTGGCTTAGATTTGTGAGTAATGTCCCAGGTTCTGCTCTTGTAACGAGTCTAGTGAGCTTCCCACGAAGAAGTTTCATTTACTTTTTTTTTAACAGTACGGAAAAGAACGTTTATTTTCCTTTCCTCGTTTGTTCTACAGGTGGAGCTACGGAGTTCTACTCTATGAGATTTTCACGATTGGTAAGTTGTGAGATTAATGACCAGACCATTAATTTTAGCGTCAACGTGTCAACAAAAGTGGCACTTGTATCGACATGTGGTCATAAAGTAAGCAGGGTGTACCGTTCTCTGAGGAATTCGGTTTTGCCTTTGTGATTTGTAACTGCCAAGCCACCTTAGATTGCCTCAGTCGCTGAACTTATTCGAAAAAGACAAAGGAACAATGGTGTAGGAATTATATTGTAAAAATATATTAACAAGTGTTGGGCCCTTCTTGAAAGAGTGCATTGAGAGTACCTGCTTTATTTTAGGTGGTTCACCTTATCCAAGGATGGATGGAAGAAAAATTGCAAAGTTGCTAGAGGAGGGATACAGAATGCCTAAACCACAACATGTGGATGAGAAGTTGTATGAAGATTGTGTTGTTGTCTTTTTTTCGTTGCCTTTTCTCTTACAGCAGTAATATTTATTTTAAATGTTCTTTTTGCTAAAGAGGCATGCGCAGCCAAAATTAAACCCGTTTTCTTTTCTGAGCCAGCCTTCTTAAGGGAAATATTGGAATGAGTCAATGATCACGAGTTTGTCTCTTGTGATGATTGAAGAAAGAAGCAAACTGTCCTGCCGTATATGCAACATTTTATGCCTAACAATATCCTAACTGAGGCCAGTGAGAACATACTGAGATATCCTTGACGTCTTTGTGTTTAAGGTATAAAATAATGGCAAACTGTTGGAAAGACGAGCCTCACTTGAGACCATCTTTTGAGAAGTTGAGAAACGAACTCAAAGAAATGGAAAACCAGCACAAGGTAGGTTTGTGGAGTTAACTGTGATCGTTCAAAGTTTTATCTGGCTTTCGCAAACTTACAATCGTGGAATATCGTTAGTTGAAAGTCGGCAGATTTTGTGTATTTTAATTTATTACGAAAATTACTGGAGTTTCGAAGCTACTTTATCTAAATTATGAGATAAAAATAATGGATCAGAATTCCAGCGAGTATTCTTGTACAAGTTTTAAAGCTTGTTCTGAAAACACGGAAAGGGGATTGATTTTGTGTTTCAAGATATTCTCTGAATCCATCAGTGAAAACCCAAAGAAAATGCTAGGTTGTATTTAGTTAATACCAATAAGCTCCTTTGAACGTTCTGTTGGGTCTGTAAACAAGCACACTGTGATATTCTTTACCTTTTTCTATTCCTTTTTTTGATGTACCACTGTCAAATGCATGTGATTATGGCGTCACTATGAAGTGTTCGAAAGTTGCATGTCTATTTTATTGCGGTTATTTCCAAGTATAATATCATCACCAACATGCTCTTCACGAACGATAAAAAGTCATTTTAAATGGGGCCTTTATCGCGAGCGATTAAGATTTTCTGATTTTTACCCCTTTTTTCGCAGGGGCTGATAAACTTAAACAATTACGACGATCGACTCTACGTTAATGTTGACGATCTTGCTGTGTAAGCGATTGCATTCTCATGGAGCAAAGGATGGAGTGATAAATCTTGCAGCGCTATGATATGCAATTTTCCCTGTGTATTTGAAGTTAAACTTTCATTCTATGTTAATACAAAACAAGCTATTGAACAGCGAAGCGAGGAACAGCTGTACAGCTTTTTTAAAACTTTATGTTGAAAAGACAAATGATTTTTTGGAAAAGCATATCAAAGTAACTTTTTATCGGTGATATAAATGAAAATTAATTTTTGAGAGTAAACATCTATTTTCGTGTAAAGTGTTAAAAAAAGGAAAATTGTTTCAATTGTCTCTTTTTCGGAGGCTAAAATAAATGACAAAATATGAAAAGACACTCAGTATAGTGAACGTAAAAGATTAACTGTTGAGGAACCCGCTCTATTGATCAGAAATTTTTTGTTACTTATGTAATTCAGTGCGAAGGCTGAGAAGCCCGACTAAGCCCCAAGGAAACGGCAATTCCTTTTGCTTTGCTCTTCTAGCAAATGAACATCAGTCCTTGAGGAACTTATAACAATAATAGTGTTGTTATGACAAATTTATTTGACGGTTGTTTTTTTTAATTGCACTCTTAATTACAGGAATTGTTTATTAAGCTAATGATTGAACAAAAATATTTTTCTTTTGTTATTTAAACGGTTGCTTTTCGCTCAAATTTTCGTGTTAGTTTGAAACATTTTCGGGATCAATATCAGTATCTAAGCAACTGCCCCTCCCCTAACCCAACAACAGCCTATTGATAACAAGTTAGGGTTAATGTTGGGTTAGGGGAGGGGTAGGTGGGCAGTTGCCCAGATACTGATATTGATCCCATTTTTCTGTGTGTGTGTAACCGTCGGAAAGCGCGGAATAAAGTTTGTGAGTTGTACAACGTCGTAAAAATTAATAAATAGTTTTCATTTGTGACCATAATGGGGCGTTGAAGTCTTGAGCGGCATCCTCTGTTTGAGAATCCCATTCCCACATTGACCAAATCAAGGATGAATAAGTATTCTGGTTCGTGGCGAGAAGAACTGGCCAAGATAACACTGATCGTCACTGCCCACGTAAAATTGCGCATAGAAAAATGCAACTGCATCACAGTATAGTTTCCATGAACATCAAGATGAACCGATGAGGAACGCCAATTATAAGATAGCGGTCATTTTCGCTTAGGCGAATTCTTAGACTCTCAGGAATACGTCACATTTTCTCTTCTAGCGAATAAACATCAATTATTGGGGAGTTTATCAGAAACTTTCAGGGTAGTATGAAATTTGAGACCGGTTTTTCGATAAGGTCTAATTTGGTGTACGTCATAGTTTGAAGCCTTTCAAAGGTTTGGATGGCCATTTTGATCCTACTTCATCAGCTCTGATCAAAGGCTCTCAAACGCTCTTCAACGACATTCGTGTCTTTATGTATTTATCATTGCTTGTGTTTGAAAACGGCAATGGCCGCTAAAAGACCTAAAAGGCCTATCATTGTGTGAAGTGTATTGCGTTACATAGCGTTACCATTTTAAAGTCTTACTACCTCAGTTATATTTTATGTCTTCTTTCCTTGTAAAATGACAAGTATCGAATGGTAAATATATTATCTTAAACACTGAATTAAGGACGGTTAAAGTAGACCAATGAAAGGAGTCACTTGATCTATGAATACTCTATATTCTGCAAGGCGACATCATCCATGCCTCCATACATGTCCAATACACACCCATAGATTCCGATGGAAAACGTGGTTTTTCGATTGAATAGGCAAAATTCCATTTATGACACCTTCTAACGGAAGAAAACAGTTCGGCAGGTCAAAATTTACACTTTTGCCTGGAGTTTTTAAGTCTCTAATACAGAATCTGAAAGTGAAAAGTTCAGTGAAATCCAGCCGAACTGATGCTCATAAAAACACGCGAGTTTTTTCACATGAAAGAAAAACAACTAGAGAACAACTGTTCAAGGCTTGCACATTATGAACGAAGGCCAGCCGAACTCACTGGAACATAAAGGTTGCTCGGGATGACCCAAAGGAAAGGATAATATAACAAGTGGTTAGTTCTTCACTCGAAGGGCGGCCGATTTAATTTCCGAGGTTTGCTTCACTGCGATGACCGGAGATTGCCATGATGAGCTGAGCTAGCCGCGATGGACTGCAGCATGATCGCTGAGTCGCTCTGACACCGTCATGAATAGTATGAATATTAAAAGTTATGCCAGTTAGGCTATATTTTTCATCACTCCTGTTTTGTTCTGTATTTTTGAACATGAAACTATATATACTATCGGAGTGTTAGCTGTATTTGATTTTTATTGCTGTACGTGAGCTTGCAATGAAACTGGTGACCAATCTAACCGAGCGTGAAAACCTCCAAAACTCGGACTGCCCATTTCGTTTCCTCTTTGAGGATTTTCGTCTCTGGTAACGTTTACGCAAGTTACGGCGCTTAGCAAGTTTACAAACCTTTGCTTGGTTCTTTTGTTGTTACTTGCCGGCTCGCTCGCTCCGAAATTCCACTTTAAACGTTTAACGAAAAAAAAAAGCTTGAGAGAAGTCCGGGCAATGGTCAGACGTAGAACAATTTGACAGGTGGCGTGACAGCTTTAGCTCAGCTCTATGTTTTACATTATGATAGAGCACGCGCTTTCAATCAATGACAGCGCGCGTCATATCCGAACTTTGGAATAATTCTCTTTTGTGCAGTACGTTTTAAGGTGATATCTCCTCATCTGTATGTTGTTTATGTAGGGAAAGCCGGATGAGATTGTGCAAGAGAAAAGAAACATTTCTTTCTTTGTGCTATTAACCTGTCTCTTCGGCAGAAATGACTTCTGAGATATACTCCTCAAAACCGTCATTCGGGTATCCTCCATTCTTTAAGCGTACTTTGAAACTCTATACACTTTTTATTAAACGTGGAGCTTGACGAATTCGTTTTTAAGAGGTCCAGCGCTTCTCCTTTTACGAATTCTTTATTTGCGCCTGATGGATGAAACGAATAAAAGTTCGTGCATTAGAAGGTCTTTCTCTCTTTGTGGTGCGCTTGCACGTTAAGGGTCGATTCCCAGTTGAATATCTTTCGTCTAGGAACGTAATTTCTGACTTTGATATTTTTACAGCTGGTGTCTCAGCAAGACTACAATTTGGATTCTCTCTGATTCTCTTAGGTTTCTCCTAGGAACGAATTTTTCACCAAGGAAAGTCGCGTAGGCCCGTCAACACTTTTTAACTTTCGAAGGATCGGAAACAAACAGTCAATTTTTATTACATTCCACGTATTCGCGCTATTCTAGCTGCCTCAAAAGATGTTCACTCGACTGCCACAGGATGCAAATATTTTACTTTTCTTTTACGACCATGATGCAAAGTAACCAGCGTGTACACATCGCCTGGCTCCACCCAGTTCTGTGGCTTCAGTTTCAGACCCATCCATCTCCCCCCCCCCCAAAAAAAAAAATCTGCTATTGATCGAAAATGAAATTTATGCTTTTCTCCTTAATCCTTAATAATGAAGTTATCTCGTGCTACTTTAGTTCTTTGGCTAATTGCTATTTTGCGCGGAGTTTCAGGAGAAGCAGGTAAGAGTTCGCATTGGACGACAGAGAGATGTTTCAGTCCCAGAGTTAACCTTTTAATTACGTTCAGCAAGCAGTTAAGTTCGACAAGTTCTGCCGCGCTACACGACTCTGGTGCGAAAGCGATTCAAACTGCGGAGCCAAACAAAATTCATAAAAACATGATTATATATTTTTGCGCGATTGTGCTCCCGCGGGGTGTTACGACAATTAATTCTTACTTAACATTAGTGCGAACTTCTCCGTGCCACACTTTTTGAGCGTTAACTAGGCTACCCGTGTTAAATGAAAGAAGTAGAATGCTATTGAAGGCGATTACATTTCTTCTCTCCGTTTATGACTCGAGGGCGAGGGTAGAGAGCCTCCCATAAACCGATGCTATAACTGTTGATACCTCGCTCGAGGCTGAGAGTTTAACATGTGCACTCTAGAGAATGGGCTTTGACGAAAAACTCGATCTTTAAGAGGGGCATTCGGCTGATACTTCAACCTTTCTCAGCATAGATTCGGGGAATTTAAATATCATGCGAATTTGGAGTTTAATGAGATCGAAGGATCAACGTGAATGACCTATCTCTACTTCTCATGATTCATATGTCTGGATACAGACCACATATTTTTAGGCTGTTATGTGTTGAGCTTCAAAACAACTTCAACTGGATATCCGCCAAGTGATGTATGTCAAAAAGAAATACAGTTCCGGTCACGTAATATATACATTTAGCCAAGCGTAAAAGCGGGGCTCTTGTTAGTTTATTTACCAGCCCCTCACCTCACTCGCTGTCGTAGTGTTCATTTAACGGACCAGTCCGGGGGAGTAGTAAGGAGGGGGGGGAGGGGGTTGACAAGGTCTGGTACACGCATGCTAGTCAGGGGAGGGGAGGATGTTGACAAGGTCTGATAAACACACGCTAATCAGCTGTATTCTCAAGCAGCTGAGGACTGTCGTCGGTGTTCCTGACGTTTTGAACGGATTTTCGAAGATACACTAAGCCAGTATCAGTTGGAATTATATTCTATTGAGCGTCACTAACATTTTCGGTTTGGGAGAATGAGCCAAACTTGGAAAACACGGGGTAAACGACATTGAGGTGAGACAACACAGGTCGATAAGAACAGTAATTCAGTAAAACAATACGCCAAAATCGAATGGGTCTCTCTTATATCTTCTCTTGAAGTTGCCAGGTTTGACTGCTTGCTCCATTGTTTTTTCTCTACCGTTTCCTCTTCCTTTGATAAGCGTAGGAAGTTAAAAAGAAAAATAACTTTCAACTCGTGTTAGCCTGTTTTTTTGTTTTAAATTCTCCTTTGATATTCACGTTTCATAATTGTCCTCTACCGGGGTCTCGCATTAATTGTAACCTCACGAGAGTGCTTTAAAAATAGCAATTTGCTGATGAGAAAATGTAAGAGGGTTTTTCCCTTTTTCATTTGAAAAATACAGACGTTTTCATCTTTCCACAGACTTTCCACGGACTATCCATTTCTCTTTCAGGATTTTCGTCTTTGTTCACGTTATAAGAACATAAATTACGGGGTTTGGCACGTTTTCAAATCTTTGTTTGGTTTTTCTGTTGCTACTTGCTGGCTCGCTTATTCCGAAATTTTTACTTTCAATTAACGAAAAGAAGCTAGAGAGGAGTCCTGGCCGATGAATGGATATTTTAGAGATTGGCAGATGGCGTGAAAGCATTAGCTCAGCTCCGTTTTTTTTTTTACTCTGATAAAGCACGCTATTTCAAGCAATGACATCGCACATTATATCAGAACTTTATTGTAAAATAGTTTATAACATTCCTCTGCAGAAACTCTTATTGAGAGACCAGCTGAACCAGTTCCTTGGTACTGGTATATCGTACACGAAAGTACAGAGGGAAGAGGGGTGAGTTAATTGATTTTAGTAACCCATGTCATAAAAACCTCTCTTCCGTGTACTATTAAACATTAACTTTATCACTATTAGGCACATGTATACATGTTTTGTAACAGTAATTCCCACTTATCAAGGAAATCAAGGTAGTAGTTAAAAAAAACTGGCAAAGGAAGCAAGCCATGGGCGTTTGAAATCCAAGTTAATGTGGGTAGGAAGATCTTTAGGGAGAAAACATAAGCCCAGAGAGACTAGCGCATACACAGTTCATGAACAGTAAGTGATCTAAAACTTTTGCATCTCAAGTCTCTTCGTGACTCAAACCAAGGATAATTTCCCACGATTTGGTCCAGGCATGTACTGTATTCTTGTTAAGATAAGGCATATCTTATGTGGTAAATATTGCATGAACAAGCACATTCGCTGCATTTGAAGTAGATTGGATTATTGTAGAATTCTTGATTTGCGTTGAAAACAGTGAAAGTATATTATTAGATAATTAGATTTTGTTATTCTAGAATTATTGATGTTGAACACAGTTAAAGTATTAGCCCATCTCATAATGCTCCATAGTTGCCTAGTATACGTGCAAATATTCCTAGTAAAGCGTACCTTCAGTACATGCATGTTTTGCATAGACCATCTCTTTTGGAGTAAACATTTTACTACTTCATGATTGATCAAAAAATTTTTTTTATTCTCTTGCAGTGGACACATCCTTCAAATGTATCGCCATATTACTCAGTCTGTGATGCTTCTAACAAATATGAGGTACCAGAGAACTGGTTAATAACAGACTTTATTAACATCAAGGATGCTACACGACTCGATATTGAAGTGACCTATACCTTCCTCAACTGCCCCTTAGCTGACGTGGGGCCATTCTGCAGAACAAACTTCTCCCTGTATTCTTATCATACTGATTTCAAATATAATCCAGACCCAAAAAAACTAAATTTCCTCAAAGAAACTGTGATAGCTCCAAAAATTCTTCCTATGCCTGGGGAGCGCACAACAGACACATTTGATGGGTCAATAATAACAAAAGCGAAGGGAATTTATTTAGCATTATTAGACCAAGGAACCTGCTTGACAATAAGAAGGTTTGTTTTAAGATATCGTTTCTGCTCTGAAACGGTCCCTTCCAAGTTGGTTAGATTTCCAAGAACACTTGCCCCAGCAAATGATATCAATCTAACCAAACAAGAAGGAGAATGTACAGATCCTAACGCGATTAAGAAAAACAACAAAACGTTATTTGGCGTGTGCCTTAGTAATGGGGAGTGGAACATAACAGATAACTCAGCCTGCCTTTGCAGTAATGGTTATGAGTTAACGCATGGATCTTCAGACTCTTTCACATGCAAAGGTTAGTGGTGCACTTGAAACCTGGCTTTGCCTCAGAAGCTTTAAGTCCAAAGTAAATATTTAATCATTTAAATGGTTAAATATCTAAATTACAACCCCGTTTGTTCATATTTGATAGGAAGCTTATTAAAGGTTCGATGCATAACTTTCATGAAATTGGACTGTGTAGCCATACTTCGTATGTTCACATAAGTCAATCGGTGGACGTAGATAAGTGGCCGAGGATGTATGACCCGAAAGCGAAGACCTAAGAACAAAGAACCCCTTTTGGCTAAGTACCTTTTCGTTTTGCTTCGTCTTCGTATTTTTCGCAGATGGATGTATTTATCTATTGGCCCGTTACGTTCAAATTCTCTGATCACAAATCGTCACCGAATCGATTTATTTTTAGAGCAGACACGTTAAATTTCGACATGGTCTACGAAGAAAAATACAAATCGTCGAATTCATAAAAAATACAGATCTTCTAATTCTTAAACCCTGCCCCTCCAATTTGTTACTTTGTATTGGTTTATTCTTCATTTCTTTTTTTTAGATATGCAAGAGTAAGAGTATTTTAGGGTCTTTCAGGTCTTAGAGATTTAGGTCTGAGAACCGCAGGTTAGGGGTTACATAAAAAAAAAAAAACCTGAATGATTAACGAATAGGGAAGCTTTGACTGTGCTCTGTCCTGTTGTTAAGCACGCAGGAGGCGGCTGAAGCACGAAAGAAGTGTGGGGAGAAACGTACCTAGACGGGTGTTTCTCCCCACTTCTTGAGTGCGCTAAGCGCCTCCTAAGTGCTTTACAACAGAACAGAGCACAGTCAAGGCTTCTCTATTTGTTTTATAATAAAGAATCCGTTAAATTCCCTACGCATTACTTTCAATTTTCAAAACAAACTTTCGTTCCGTCAGCGTGCTCTATACTCTCATAAAGTACGCTACAATAAGCCGATCTAAATCTCTGTTAGAATGGTTCAAATAATCTGATTGGCTATACAAGACTAAAGCTGTCAAAAGTGTCAAACTACCAACGTTCAAAAACCATCAAAGTTCACATTCTGCGATAGTTTACAAACTGAAATAGTTGGGCTGGTCGAATTTAACACTTTTGCCTGAAGTTTTTAAGTCTCTAATACAGAATCTTAAAGTGAAATGTTCAGTGAATTTCAGCCAAATTAAGGCTCATAAAAACACGCGAGGTTTTTCACATGACAAGGTAGAAAATAAACTGTTCAAGGCGAGTGTTTTACGAATGAACGACAGCCGAATTCACCGGAACATGAAGATCGCTTGGGATGACAGCGCCGCAAAACTCGGCCCAATGACTGATGTGACTTTCCACTCAACGCATTTGAAAGGATATCAGAGCAAGCTCTTATTTTTTCTATGCGGCCTATGTAGTTTCTGAGGCTTGCTTCACTGCGATGACCGGAGATCACCATGATGAGCGAGCCGCGATGGACCTCACCATGATCATATTCGCTCTGACACTGTCATGATTAGTATGAATTTAAACAGTTATGCCAGTTTGGTTATATTTTTCATAATTTCTGTTTTTTTCTGTTTTGTTTTTGAACACAAAACTTTATATACTACACGAGTGTTAGCTGTGTTTGATATTTATTACCGTACGTAAGCTTGCAATCTAACTGGGCGTGAAAATCTTTAAAACTCGGACTGTCTATTTTGTTTTTCCTTTGAGGGTTTTCGTCTCTGCCTACGTTTTAATAACGTGAATTACGGCACCTTGCATGTTTTCAAATCTTTGTTTGGTTCTTCTGTGGCTACATGCCGGCTCGCTTGTTCCGAAATTTCACTTTAGTCCACAAACCATCGAAGTTCACAATCTGCAATAATTTACAATTGACATAGTTCGGCAGGTCGAATTGAACACGTTTGCCTAAAGTTTTTCTAGTCTCTAATACAGAATCTGGAAGTGAAATGTTCACTGAAATCCGGCCGAATTGTGGCTCATAAAAACAAGTGCAAGGCGTGTGTTTTATGAATGAAAAACAGCCGAACTCACAAGAACATAGAGATTTATTGGGATGACAGTGCCGTAACACTTGCCTGCTGTGAGTGATGTGGCCTTCCACTCAAACCATCGGAAAGGATATCAGAGCAAGCTCTTAGTTGTTCACTCAAAGTGCGGCCGAGCTTGCAATCTAACTGAGCGTGAAAACCTTAAAAACTCGGATTGTCCATATTGTTTTCTCTTTGAGGATTTTCGTCTCTGCTCATGTAATCATAATGTAAATTACGGCGCTCGGCATGTTTTTAATCTTTATTTAGTTCTCCTGTTGTTATTTGCCGGCTCGTTTGTTCCGAGATTTCACTTTCATTTAACGCAAAAAGCTCTCAGTCAGGAGTGCTGCTAGTTGTAACTGGCATTTAGCAGTTACGGAGAAAAGTTTTGGTATAGCCATTTGCCTTTAGGACATTAGAAACATATTTTCTCTCCTCAGCCTTCGAATCGAGTGGAGATGGTAGACAGTGTGAACTGTGAACTGAGAGTCATTAGGAGTGAAGACAAAAAGAGTCGTCTTAGTAACCAAGCCTCTGGCGATGAATAGTGCCAAGGTTATCATATTGGCCGTGTTCAATTTCGCGTTATCGTGGACCGAGTATTGACTCCCTTCAGCCGCGTTTTACGACTTCATCGCCAACATTGTTCAAGAATATCTGCTTCACGCACTTCCTTTTCTTGTGCTGAAGCAAAAAAAGCGGTTAATCCTGAGCCCGTTCGGGTAGCTAATGAGAAAACGGGATTCGCTTTTTATTGCCCACGGGCTCTGCCAGCGACATAATAACTGTTATTATGATAAACTAACCTATATGTATCATGCGTGTAAATGCCAGAAAGAAATTAACTAACCAAAAGACCTCTCTTGTCAGGAAATTATGAAAATTATGTAAAAGCTTATTGAAAACTGAAATGGCATGCTACTCTTGATACCAATTCCAACATACTGAGACCATAATCACTTGAAACTTTTAATGGATAACCTGTTAGATTTTCGAACCACTTCGTGAAAGCGGTCACCCCTTGGTCCCTGTTTACATTTTAGATAATGGTATTTGCTTATATGCTGGAAAGAAATATTGATCATGATATGCAAAGAAGTTATCAAAATATCAACAAGTCTACGTTCATTTGTCTATCATTGTAATTGTAATGTTTTTTACTTTACATCCAGTCGTTCCAGTAATTAACATAACCATGGTCTTTACCAATGAAGGTTGTACTAATGGAAAATTCAACCAATCCTCATTAGTGACGAGGCTAAAAAAAGTGGTAACCATTTTTTTGTTTTATCTAGCTATTCATATCTAAATTACTAATATTTCTGCAGTTGCGGTATATTACATGCAAATCCATGCAATTGCAATTATAGCTTCGGTTGTTTTTCAATTACAGTTAACCACAATTGAAAAAGAAACTTATTTGAATAAACTCAAACATTCCGAGTGAGTCTGTGTGGCGCTTTCGGATGCATGCTCTGATGTGGTGTTTGAAAGACGTTATTAATTACAAATTGAAAATAAACCATCATATTCTGTAAACATTGATATGTTTACCTGATTGTGTGGTGATCTTTAAAGGTGCTTTTCGATTTCATGTTCAGTTTGCTGTTGTTTCCATCAACAGATGGAAGAGGCTTTTCCTGGGAGATTTGCAGGTCTCAGAAGTGTGCAGTTGAAAAGTGGCATTAGGTTTGTAAACTGCCTGGATTAGCAAATGAATTATAATTTTCTGGATTCTAAGGTGCTCTTCTTTATTTTAACCCTCATATTTTCTCTTAATTAAGGTGTGGAAGAACAACTGTTAACCTAGCACTTAAATTTAATTCCAAAACAAAAGAGCAAGATGTTATTGCAGTACTTCGTAATGCTGCCAAAGATGGAAAGCTTGGAGGCTTCAATGTGAGTGCAACAAAAAGGACAAGATCGCAAGCTGATTTCGACACTGGAACTACAGAAGCAGGCACAGTAACGCTAACTGCTGACAGTAAGTTTTAAGTCTTTTGATACATACACTGTAGTTGATTAGTAGCAAGATTTCACAGGATTGTTTATCCCTCATATGTTCTTCAGTGAAGTGGTTAATTGGAGTGGGATTTAATTACGAGTATATTCAGCATTTGGAACATTCTTCCTATGTAAATGGTATCCACGTTAGCGTACTTTGTTGTATTGATTTGTTAAAACATCATACGTATGTAGTCTAGTGTCTCATTCTGCATGACACCGCAAAAGATAAGGGCTGTAGGGTGATAGGATAGGTGAAGTATGAAATAACAAACAAACAGAACAATGGCGCAAACAATAACTTGCAAGGCCTTTCTTTCTTAACTCCACCAGCTAATGAGCTAGGGCACAAGATCTCATCCAATAAAAAATCAACTCGTGTATTTTTCAGTGGTACTTTTACATATCTATGATATATTTTTGCTACCGCAAGCAAATGTCGCGAGAACGATAAGCCTTCTGCCCGATGTGGTTAGCATTGATTCCTGCTTGTCTCGGTTCTTTATTCAGACCCTTACATGAATTTTGTAAAGTAATGAATCGTTGCTCTTATTTTGGCAGAATACAAAAAAAACTTATATCACAAGAGCAACAAACTAGGAAAGAAAGCAAAGCATTTGAAATCAGGATCCAACATTCATTTACTTTATTTTTAGTTCTCACAAAAAATTCGGCACTGATATGATTGAGAAATGATTGATAAGGTGCTCGTACGTACACGTATGTACTGCATAAAGACTTCTTCAATAATTGTAAAGTAACCACGAAAAGTAATGAAAAATGCTCCCATCGACTGTAGTTCAGTGTAAACCTAAGAAATTTCATTTTGCTGGCTCGTAATTCCAATTATTTTTGAAACGTCATAAAGAATAAGTAAGGGAAGGGTACTGGTGGAATAACTGTAATCTAGTTCTCATACTTAGTTGGACTTCTTCCTGTAGGTATCAACATTACATTTTATTAGGCTTTTAAGTAATTTTACGCGAATTAGATAAAAACTTGTATGCGTAGAGAAAGGCATCAAGACTAAACTGGCTAAGTGGAGAATTGCAAACATATTGTTTGTGGAGGCATATATTCATATGTTGTTTGTCTTGTTTTTTCAAGGTGCCCTAGGGATTACTGTTGGTGTGGTGGTTGGATCAACTGCAGCACTGGCGGTTGCTGCAGGAATATTCGTCTTTTTCGTAAGGAAGTTAAGAAAGCGTAACAGCAAGAACTCAAATGGTAAGAGTAGTATTTTAAAATGCTTGCTTTGGAACACAAGAAAAATTGCGTGGTATCAGGCAACTAAGAAGTTTGTGTTGTTTGTAGCCTCATTTAAAAACAAGGCAAGTTTGGAGATTTCGAAACAGTTCTAACAAATCCCTGTTTTTAAGAGGTAAAAAGATGTGTTTGTCTAACTCCGTAATAAAAGATGTAGCGAAATTATTAGATCGATTACAAACTTATTAAATTTAAAAAACCTGAAATTCCTGAAAAAAAGCAACTCAATACAACTGCGGAAAACACTGAAAACAAGAGTACGTAAAAGTGTCCGCGTCAATTTTCATTGTCAGGGTCTAAGTCTGTGGAAGCTGGATTGGCTGATATTGCGAAATCACGCGGACCGAACGTGAATACCAAAAGATGTGATTTGAGATTCACAAACTGGAAAAAAAAAATTCAACAACAGTAACGTGGTAGGCAAACCCGAGTCTTAAAGCCTCTGAGTGTTTGGGTGAGGCTAGGTGAACACGGTAGATCTCCTGCATGATCTGTTGCGTTCATGAAATACAGACATATCCAAATATTCACGACCGTGATTATATGCCCTCATTTGATCGAGTCTCTATCATTTTAATAATTCAATTATAGCCCTAGACTTAATGACCGCTTTCTGCTTAAATTTTCCATGTATGAAATGAGATAAATGTCAGAAGACATCATTCTGCATTTCCTTTGTACTATTTATTACTTTCTCTTTACATACTTTTCGAGCTGGTTTTTCATTTTTTTTATACTTTCTTTCTGTTTTTTTTTTCTGTTTTGGAATCAGGAAAAAGAGAAAGGTGAGATTTCTAGAACGATGAATTATCGTCGAATTTCATGTTTTGTTGCAAACTGTGTACAACTGTGAACTTGCCTAATGTTAGCGTGGATTATGATAATTATGCTCAGAGCAAGAGTGTCATCTAAAGTCAGTTTCACAAAGCATCCTTAACGTGATGACTTCAAAACTGCTCACGAGTGTGGGCTATCCAGACATAATTATCTTTTCTTAGAGTTTGTCCATCAAAGGAAAGGCACAGATGCCTAGCTCCTAATGTTTATGATACCTTTTTTGCGCCAATACAGTAGCGCAAAATGTGACATGCTGTAACTAATCATTTCATAACTAATACTCATGGAGTACCCAGAGGTGTGCTTTCCAGCCGAAAAAATTGTCAACGTGTTTCATCCGATAGAATTTGGATTAGAGAGAAAATATGATATTTTTCTTTAACTTTTAGGAAAAACAGAAAAACAACTGAAGAAATAGGACAAGTCGTTGTAAGTCGCTTGAAGATTTTAACTTTTAACCTTTTTCTGGTACAATACAGTATATCGTTGTTTTTTCCAAGAGGGCACGGTAACGAATCCTTCAATCTGATTGGTTCTTAGCGCAGTCCGGATTTTCCTACCCCTGCCAATGGGCATAGTAACCCTTTTATGGATCGCAGAGTGCATTCCTAGTTTCGTTGCAAATTTTTTCACAAATATACGTTGCCTCACCGGCTAGGCAGCATTTTCAAGCGCAGACTTCGGTCACGATCTCAAGCCGTAAGTTGATTAATTATAATTTGCTCGCTCTTTCTCAAATCAATTTGGTTGCTTGGATTACTGTTCTGAAGTTTGCATAGAAGTCTTTTAAATCACCATTATCATAACGCAAATAAAAATGTTTCGGTGAAGCCTAAATCTTTCATGTGTTTTCTCTACTTTCTACTCGCTAAAAAATTATTCAATTTTCTGGAGGATCTTGCCTTAATTACAGGCACCCATAGGTTTAAGAACAAAATTGTTTAAAGCCTTGTTCGGTCCGTATTGGGAAAACCTGTGCCCTCTGCCTTTTTTTCCCGAAACGGATTGTCTAAGGCTGGTGAATAACATGTATGTACTTTGACAGATATTGGTGATCTAAGTTTATATCATTCTGTCTCAATTGCGAAATTACTATGCAAAAGCACTTTTAATAACACCACTGGAGCTTCATTCTCTTTTAAGCGCGATACGTTTTGTGTCTTTGGATAAAAACTGTACAGTGTTGACAATGTCGTTTGCATTTGATGAAATTATTTATAACCAGCGACGGTTTGTCTTTTAGTCTTCAGTTATTCCTTGTTCACATCTGTACCACCCTCGCTCTGCGAAGCCATAATGGCATTAATATTCTTTTAAGATGCCTCTAAGGTACATTGCACAACTGATGGCAGAGACGAAGCTCAACACCCCGCAAATCTGAGCAATCATTAGTGTAATCTGTAGGAAACAGCCGAATAAAAATTAAAGTTTAGTACGTGCAAGCACCTTTTCTCTATTTTTTAAATTTTCAACTGGCGCACTTTCAGTAATAACTCCAAAGAATGGAAAATAGTGTCATAAGTAGTTATGAAATTCCGCTGGGAAAAAGCTGAAAAAAAATTAAAAATTTGATACGAGCTAGCATATATTCTTTTTTTTATTATTAACTCTGCACGCCTCTTAGTAATAGCTTCTATAAAAAAAGGGAAGAAAGTGTCTTAAGTGGTTATAAATTTCCGGATCATACGCTAAAAGAAAGTGGAATTATAGTTATAATGTTATGCAACATTTTCGCATGAAAACTGTATACAAGAACAACGAAATGAAAAAAAAGAAAAAAATGGAAGATTTGAGACTTTCCGCTGTAGCTCTAGTTAATGATTGCGTTTATTTTTTCAAACTCAAAAGACTGGACTTGAAATGGCGGAAGCTTCTCAAAGCCAGAAGTGCTTGGCATTGGATGAGCGGAATCGGTCACCTTCCATGAAAGATTCAGGGTTGGCGAACTCTTCACAACCAGGCCAGTCTGTCACTGAAAACACCTCTCTATATCCATCACCACGTTTTTCGAAGATTCCTTCAGAGCTCGTTACTATAGAAAAAGTCGTTGGTCAAACTCAAAAGACTGGACTTGAAATAGCGGAAGCTTCTCAAAGCCAGCAGTATCTGGCATTGGATAAGCGGAATCGGTCACCTTCCATGACAGATGCAGGGCGGGCGACCTGTCCACAACCGGGCCAGTCTGGCACTGAATACGCCTCCCTATATTCATCACCACGCTGTTGGGAGATTCCCGCAGAGCTTGTGACGATAGAAAAGGTCGTTGGTGAAGGGGCTTTTAGTCAGGTTGCCAGGGCAACAGTCATAGGCCTCCAGGGGAGACCAAAGAAGACGCTTGTGGTTGTTAAGATGTTGAAAGGTATCAAGTACTTCAAATAATTAGATGTGTTTCAGTGAAATTTCGAAGTTAACACTCCCCTCGAAAGGCGTAACCTCAAGCAGGTAGCATCAAAAAATTTCGCCTTCTTCTCGATCCTGACGGTAGCAAAGCAAGCCCAGTCTCTCTCCCTAAATATGGAGGGGAAGGTTCGTTTAGTAGGATATCCATTCTTCAATCAGTATTCAACTAAACGGGACCTCAGTTAATAGATCAGGGTCGTGAGACAATTTGAAACCAGGTATTAACCATGAATGAGTTGACCAGTCCTGTGTACTCGAAACACGACAAGCGTCTCACGTGGCCTCAACATGAAACTTGAACGTTCGTTGTCAGCTGGTTCAGCACCCTCTGATATCAGAAGTCGTAACATTTTCCTCCAAGTTAATCGGAAGAACTACTTTTTTTCCGCAAGAACTTATCGACACAATCGTTTTTAAGTAAAAAAGTAAATTATTGTCAACAATCAACTCTCCTCCCTCCCTCTATTCAAAGGTAGCAAACCTCAAAAACTGCTTTTTCCGAATTCAAATTGACATAAGGGTCGTCCCTTTCGACATGAAACGTCAGTGGGAAAAGAAAAATCCATGTTTCTGCTGAGAGTATGCCGCTCAGCAATTGCTTTGCAGAAGTCTTATTTTTATTAAATTAAGTATCGTTAAAGCATGGTCATACTGGTACAGCAGTGGAATGAAGGGTTTTGTCATTGTATATGTCGACTGAGAACTGTGTTTAAAATTATATTTACTTGTAGAGTGTAAACGAAGTGTTATGGTCTCAATTAGGTCGGTCTCATTGAGCTTTACACATGAGCCCCAAAGATAAACTTGTTTAAGATATTTCATAACATTATGACTATTTCACGACCTTATGATTTTGAATAAGATGTTCAATCACCAAGCAAAACAGAGCTCAGAGTCAGAAGGGAAATTTGCAACTTAATTCGATTCAGCAAGAGAACGTCAACTGACATCCTCTTGAGTTCAGCTACTGCTGTTGTTTGTAAAGGTAACAGCTGTTGGGTGATCGTCTTGCAGATGACGCTTCTGAGTCGGACAGGAAGGACTTGATGTCCGAACTTCGATTGATGAAGGAACTCGATGCTCATCCTCATGTCACTGAACTTCTGGGATGTGTCACGAAATCTGGTAAATGTGGAAAAATATACTTTAAAAGCCCAAACAATTATCTTCATCATTTTCCAGCAGATCTCTTGCATAGTATAAACATATTTCATGTTTCTCATGCTCTACAGAGCCATTGATGGTGTTGATTGAATACATTCCCTATGGAGATTTATTGGGATACCTCAGAAATAGCCGTGGATTGAATGATACTTACTTCGAAGACCCGGATATCAAACCACAAACAAATCTGACGTCAGAGCAGCTTATGAAGTTTGCGTGGCAAGTTGCCGATGGAATGTCGTATTTGTCATCGATACCAGTAAGCAGGAACGTTATCTACTTACTGAAATGTTACTTTGACACATGTTGCTGAAATCGGACATTGGTCCCGACTTTTTTCTTTTCATTAAATTCTTCTGGATCCCCCTTAATTCGTTTCAACATTAAAGATTTGATTTTATTTGTCGCAGATTATCCATCGAGACCTTGCAGCTCGTAATGTGTTCGTTGGAGCGGGGGAAACGTGTAAAGTGACAGACTTTGGTATGGCCAGAGATGTCCTAGATGATAACATTTATCAAATGAGGTCAAAGGTACTTAACTATTTTGAGCCAAAAGTTGGTGTCGAAATTAGCTAGAGAGAGTGTTTGTCTGTAGTTTTAGATTTTCAGTTAATCACTGGCTCTGTTTGCTGTTCTCCAACATATATACCGCTAGAATTTGTCAACCAAGGTAGGGATGTGTGATCAGTCTACTACACCAAAGTTATGACTTTCATTCTTGCTCTTTTCTACACTTTTGCCGATCAATTCAATATGCTTTTCATTAAGGGACGCATCCCTCTGAAGTGGACAGCTTTTGAGGCGCTGCTTTACGGGAAATATTCTACCAAAAGTGACGTGTGAGTACAAGGACCACATTAACATTATTTTTTAAGTTTAATGAGAATAGCCTCTGGGAAAAATTAATGGCTTTCTTCCGTAAGTACCGGCCCGGGATCAGCTCATATGAGTGCGCTTCCCACAACGGTTTACAGAAGATGTTAAAATTGTTTTCAAGGACAAGAACGATTATTTCTCTAAATTTATGCCGTTTGTTCTACAGGTGGAGCTACGGAGTTCTCCTCTATGAGATTTTCACGATTGGTAAGTTAAAGAGCTGATGGACAGGCCATTAATTTTAGCCATAAAACTCATGTTGACCCGCCAAGAAGTCGGTAGGCTAAGCTGGGAAAAAGATGAGCAATGGTACATAATGTTTAATGTAAAGCTAAATTTACAAATGTTGAGACTTTTTGTAAGGTGTATTTTGAGTAGCTTCTCTATTTCAGGTGGCTCGCCGTATCCAAAAATGGATGGAAGACAAATTTTAACATCGCTAGAAGCGGGATACAGAATGCCTAGACCACAGCACGTGGATAATAAGTTGTATGAAAAAAGTTTGTCCTTGTTGTTGTTTCTCTTACGACGCCTTTTCTCTTAAAATAGTTTTTTTGAATTAAGGGTTTTGAGAATTTTTTGGCTGTAGTCAAAATTTAACTGGCTTTACTTGTTGAGCCAGTCTACCAACGGGAAATTTTGGAATAATACGAGTTTTTATCTTGTGATTAGTAATGGTAAAGGGACCGTGTGGATTCGAATCAGTCTGTATTCTTGCGTGTAATAGCGGGAGTCCAATTCCTCTACTACGGATATGATTATAGACCGAATTGGACGACACGAAGTCTTATTATCAATTGATCATAAAAATTACAATTTCTGAATTAAAAAACTGACAAAGGAGGTGTAAATTATTTAATGTCGCTCCGAAGTTGTTTACAATTCAAACATAAACATTCGCCATTTGGGAGAAAGCCCTAGTTTAGGAGTCTGTACATTGTTTCTATGGTGATTGAAACCAAGTTTGTGATTGGTTGATTTTAAAATACAACTTTGAATGTCCGATGAAAGTTTTAAGATAACATAATTTCCGATAACTACTTTGCAAATGAATAAATGGAAAATAGGAGTTTATAAAACCAATCACAATAAAGGAAATTGCAATTTTTTGTGATTAGTAAGAAAAGGACCAAATGGTCCTACTATACCTTATGGAAAAATCACAACATTTTAGGCCTAATAACGCCCTTACTGATGCCACCAATAAGATGCTGAGATATTCTTGACGTTATTGTTAGGTATGACTTAATGACAAACTGTTGGAAACACGACCCTAACTTGAGACCATCTTTTGAGGATATGAGGAACACACTGAAAGAAATGGAAGACCACCATAAGGTAGAGTTGTAGATTTTTCAAAGGGAATTTCTAAACTTTGATCGTAGTTTGCTCTCGCACATACAAGATACACATTAAGAGTATCGTTAACCTCTAGTTGCCAAATCTTGTGTATTGCCACAGTTCTTTAGAAAATTACCGGAGTTTGGAAGCTACTTTAACTAAATTCTGAGGTAAAAATGACAAATCAGAATTCCATCGATTGTTCTTACATTAGTTCTAAAGTTGTTTTGAAGACACGGAAATGGGATTGATTGTGTATTTCATGAAATTCTCTTAGTCCATCGGCGAAAACCTAACGTAAATAGGAAGTCGTATTCAGGTAGTACAAGTGTGCTCCTTTGAACGTTCAGTTCACCTATTTTTAAATATGATTTCACCATTAATACACTCTTTCGGGAGGAAAAAAAGAAAAAGATTTATTGCAAGCTTAAGAGAGTATGCAACACTCTAAACACTTGACTGTTTTTTCTTTTTTTTTCAGGGCCTAATAAATTTAGAAAATTACGATGATCGACTCTATGTTAATGTTGACCATCTTGCCGAGTAAGCGATTGCATCCTCATGGAGCACAGGATGGATTGATAAATCTGAGATTATATGCTTTTTTGGATGAGGTTTTAGTCTTTCATGTGTTAATTAAGCAAGTACAGAAACAAAAAATAACAGCGACGTGAGGCAAAGTATAGCTTTAGCATATTTTTATATGTATTTTTTTTTACTTTTAGTCTTGAAAAAACAAACAATTCTGTACACCAAAGTACCTTACATGGAAAACAGTCCACGCGAGTGTTGCGAAGCTTAATTTGCTTATAACTGGAAGCGAAAATTTTTCCGGTGCAATAAAAATAAGGAAGACCAAATATAAGTCAATGTCTTATATATATCAGTAATAGAAGTAGAAGTCACAAATTTCAAGGTGACACTATTTAGTTAAGGGTACATATCTTTGATTTGGAGTACCTTTCGACCTTGTAGAGATCATTAAAAGCTTCTAAGACATCTTTACCTGCTGTGTTGGTGAAGGTGACATCTTATTCGAAGTCCACACTGGTGTCATACTTGGGTGTATCATGTCTACATTGCCTTTCAATTTTGTTGTGGACTGGATCATGCGACGCACCACTAAGGATCAGTTCAGGGGCATAAGATGGAAACCCTTCTCCTACTTGAAAGACCTGGATTTACACCTTTGCAAAGCAGTTGGCCTCAACATCAGCAGCAAGAAGATCGAAATTATGGCACTGAATACTATCAACACACGCCCAGTCCAGATTGATCATGAAGAACTTCCTTACACCGACATATTCACCAATCTCGGCAGCATCATCGGAAGAGATAAAAGAACTGACCTGGACATCCAGAGCCGTCTTAACAAGGTCAGAAACTCACTCAAACTAATGAATAAGGTATGGCGCTCGTCTATTCACAGTACTCGCACTAAGCTGAAACTTTATCATAGTTGCGACCTGACAACCCTCCTGTACGGCTCAGAACGTTGGCGCTTGACAGAGAAGGATTTATCAAAACTCTCCACATTTCAGACTAAGAGCCTACGCCTTTTCGGGCCCAATATCATCTTAAATAAAGATCTCTTTGAACGGTGTAGACTTGAACCAATGGTTACCACCCTGATGAGGAGATGCTGAAGGTGGATTGGACACGTCACCTTCCCTGAAGCCTCCATAGCAAAAACTGCCCTATACTGGACACCTTAAGGGAAACACAAGAGGTACCGCAAGCCAGAGGACAATCATGAAACGCAAACAGTCGAGAGAAAAGAGTTTAAAAAGTAACAGGTTTAAACAGGTAATCTTGAGGCAAAACAACAGTTTCAGTCATGTGTAAACTGTAAGGTTTTGTAAAATTTTATTTTCGGGCTTCCTGTCGTGTCAGGTATTCCGCAAATTAGTGCGCTCTCCATTCTTGGGGTTACTTTCTAAGAAGATTTCCGATTTACTACAAATGCAAGAAATAAGCCAATTTAAACTAACAAATGCCTTTTATACAGTACAATTTATCTAATAAGCTCAGTTATGCACGCTTTCTGATTGGTTCTCACTTATGATCTATTGGAGGACAAACGTATAGATGACGTCATCATTAAAACTTTTTTTAATTCTTTATTTTATAAAACAAATAGATTCCAAGTTGCCGTGCGTCTGTTCAGTAATAGATCACAGAGGACGTCAAAATGTGGTAAGAACATCAGTGATACACTCGGCTGCGCCTCGTATGCCACTTCTTTTTTCACGGCAACTTGGAATCTATTTGTTAATGAAGGAACCTCTCATCGAGAAACATGCTATATCAACTGGACTATCTAATGTTAATCGAGAGAAGCATACACGCAAATCTCATCGTGTATGTAGACGTGATCGTGAAACAAGCAGAATACCAATACGAAGTTTGAAAAGGTTAAGGAACAAGAGCAGAAAGATTAGAAAATTTGCCTATGCACGTATTCTTTCTTGTATCCCCATGTCATCCACTTAACAAATAGATTTCAGTAGCCGTGCGTCTGTTCAGTGATAGATCACAGATGACGTCAAAATGTGGTAAGAACAAAAAAGTGGCACACGATGCGCAGCCGAGTGTAGCACTGATGTTCTTACCACCTTTTGACGTCATCTGTGATCTATTACTGAACAGACACACGGCAACTTGGAATCTATTTGTTTTATATAATAAAGAATTAAAACATTCTCTAGAGATTTGTATGGTTGAGGGCAGCCTCAAGGCACGTGTGTTCTTCTCGGAGTATTGTCCCTTGATAGCTGAGTGCATTATTTTCAGAGTATACACAACAGTGATATATTTGAAGTGAGAGGAGAACAAATTGAGAATATTGAAAATAGGATGGTTTCTCAAAACAGTGTGAATGAAATCACAAACTTCAATCTAAGTTGTGCTGTAGCTTTATACTCTCTTTGCTAACTCCAAATGGAAACAAATCAATTGGAGGGTAATAGTACAAAATATGCTGGAGTATACTTCACAGGTTCATGAGAACCACTCTAACAACCCCATAAAATTAATAGTTCATCTGCTAATAAGCTTTGGTAGTGACTTTTTGTTTTCTTTTGGTATTTAAAAAAATAAGTAACTGGTTTTCTTGCATGGGTTAATAGCCATCACCCTAAAACTTGGGGTTGTTTATAATTAAAAGCTTTCTCAGCCTGGAATCTTTTGTTAACCAAGAAAAATAAAACATAAGAAGACAGCCTATCTGGCAAATGGCTCAGCCCACTACAAGTCAAAACTCGAAAAAGGAAAAAAAATGGAAATAATGTCGAGTAACATTTATTGAAGAAATAGCCATTAATGTATGGCACTAATTCCCCCCACCCCACCCCAGAAAAAGGTCTTTACACTACATGACAAAAGGTGTTTTCAGCTCTCTGTATACATCTGTGAGAAACCTTCATCTCTGGCATAGCAAGACAGCAAAAAATTACAGGATAAATCAATAATTGCACAAGAACTTAGGCCCATGTAGGCACAAAGAAAAAAACAAAGTTTCTTTCCAACAGAAAGCCCTAGTGAACGCAAATATGCGTCTAATTGTCATTGAAAATGTGCTTCGCTTTTGTCGGCCGCTACAAACACCCTGGGAAGGAAAGTGTAAAAGAAAGGCCGAGTTGGTTGAGCAAGCGTTTAATTCTCATTCAGTGAAGCTGTGTCTGAAAACAAATCTGAAAATTTTCATGGCAATCTATTGTTTTTGTCATTGTTTCTTACCAGACCCTGAATGCTTTATTGAAATTGTAGTATGGAACCTCACAATATTTACCCAAACTTTCTTGGCTCTCCAGATATATGTAACTGTCTCTTCTGGGAACGACCGACGAGTACTCTGAACTAACTGTATTCATGGATTTCTTTGGGTCAAAGATAGTCGGATAGCATTCATAACGTGCACTTTTTCAAAGAGGGAAATCTCGATGTTACAGTTCCTCATGGCGTGAACATTTACCTTGGAAGCGTAGTATCAGAACCATGCTCGCTTGTTACTTTTCGGTCATTGGGCCTGTTCCTGGCTGCAAAAATGCTTCGAACGCGAACTAACAGTATTCTAGATTTCTTTGGGTCAAAGATAGTCGGATAGCATTCTGAACGTACTTTTTCAACCAGAAATTGAAATCTCGATATGGACCCCAAAAAAATGTAATGAACAAACGATTCTTAGTGTTTGCGGTGGTGTGTTTGTTTTCATTATTCGCGCCGTATTCATCGGAGCCTCGCTTCGGTGTTAGAGTTTCGTCACCAGTCTGTCACGCTGAAATTAGGCCATTGTTTCTCAAATATCGTTGTTCAACAGTGACATCTCATTTCCATCTACATCTGCTTTTATTATGTTGGTAAAATCTGTACGTTTACACTAGACTGTTGCTCCCTGAATTTCCTGAAAGTACTGCAATGTTATGTTTACATTTATCG